GCCCGCTTAACCTCCCCCCCCCATTCAAGTTCCTTTTCAGGGACTCTTTCAGTTACCTAGTAACAACTTGATTCTTAGCTGACAGTTGTTTACATTCAGTTCTCTCTATTCAAACCACTCTTGGTTTCTGCCTCCTGACTAAACCCTGCCTAATGAGCTAGTCCCATGGCAGTGGAAAAAGTAGGTCCAGCTTAGGCCCTGAATATTCCAGCTCAGGCCCTTACTAGAGTCCCACATTGGGATCTTGAGTACTTGGGCAGTGGCTGATAATACAGACTTTGATCCTGAGCATCAATGCCACTTACCTTGGGCATAGAATTCTCCCAGCACCCTCTCAAGAAGAGGGAAGGAGAGGCAGAGCATGATTGGCATAGCAACATCAGACTTCTAAAACTTCACCACTGCCGGGCACTCTAGCCATCTCAGGACTCTCCTCTGGAGCAGAAACCTCCAAAATGGCAAAGGGTAAACCCCAGATATACACCCTACTCCAGGGGTGGGGCACTGACTCCATAACTCCCAACCCTGCCCATAGAATAAAATATCTGTGTTGTCCAGTTCCAAACTCACTGGACAGCTTAGATCTGCTTCTGGTCCTGCTGCTTCATGGTGTGACAGGGCTTCCCCATCACATTAGCTCCATGCAGAAAAAGACAAAAATAAAAGCTATAATAAATAGCCTTATGTGTCACAAAGGTCTTCTATTTTTGGTTTCTCGAAGGAAGCATAGGTTTAATAAGTTACCCGGCCAATTTTTTGTGTCTGGCACAAGTGGTTTCTCTATTGCCAAACTTTTTTTTCTGTTATTCCTTAATGGATTATTTCCTTTGGTGGTGATCATTATCATGGTATTTTGCAAGAAGCTAGATACCTATGTAGGAGATCTATGAGCAAAATGAAGGATACATTCAGAGCATTTGCCTTGTGGTGATAGGCACTGCTAGGTGCTTTATATGGATGATTTGATTTGATTAGTCCACTCAACAATCCTATGGAGTTATCTTCATTTTACAGATAAGGAAACTAAGGTTCAGAAATAACCTGTTTGGGGTCACATCACATCACTCATCAGTGGGAGAATGCAGAGTCAAATCCAGATGTATGTAATACCAGAACCAGGGCTCATAACCATCTTTGCAATACAGCTCAGCATGGCATTTGGAATCAGCCATAAAAAAATGGGACAGCATGTAAAATAATTAACATCTCCCTCCTACACTTCCCTTCTACATTTC